CCCGTGAGGGTGGGGAGATCCTGGCCCAGGCTGCCCAGAGAAGCTGTGGCTGCCCCCTCCCTGGCAGGGCTCAAGGCCAGGTTGGACGGGGCTGGGAGCAGCCTGGGCTGGTGGAAGGGGTCCCTGCCCATGGCGTAAGGTACCTTCCAACCCAAACCATTCTGTGATTCTATGATATATGCAGGGTGGCAATTAAACTTGAAGCAACTATGCCCCTTTCTGGGGACCTAAGCTGCCTCTCTGAACAGTCAACTTCAAATCTGCTGCAGAAAAACACGATGGCAGCTCAACATACAGCTTTACATTTTGAACAATGGAACTGCAGGTTTTTCCGGACCTGTTAGTTCACCCACTGCATCCATCCAAAACCATGTTTTAGCTACAGAAGATCAGCTTGCCCACAGCACTACAAATATTTAAGAGAAACACCACCACAAATATTTAGCAGAAACATACAAAGTGGAAGGTGTCAACTAACACTCAAAAAGTCGTAACACTATCTTGAAAACAAGCTATGAAAATACTTGTCTGATTCAAACCATTTGTGCACAAAAAAAAAAGTGGTAATAAATAAATAATTTATATGTCTGGTGAAAAAGAACAAAGCCATTACTCAATTTTATGATGGGAACTTGGCGTGTAAATGAACGCAATGGAGAAACTGATCACTGCCACCAAAGAAACCCAGATGCAGAACTGCACCAGTCCAGGACCAGCTTATGTTTTAAATAGAATACAAGATCCAAAATATTACCAAGAAGAACACAAAACACTGCAGTTGCCTCCTGAAATAGCATATGCCTACAAAACACATTCTGTGAGTAACAGATGTCTTGTGCAGAAAACAATATATAAAAAAAATACAGTTAGTCCACCTTTACTATTGAAATGAATCAGAAGCTTAGGTTAATAAACTTCTAATTAAGTGAGAAAACTGGCTACTACTCAAGCAGACCAAGAAAGGAAATGAAATGGCTCATTTTAATTAGAACATAACATCTCTCTCCCAAAGTATTTGAAGAGAATTTGAAGAACGCTGCGTGTACGTACCCATCGCCGGAAACACGCAAGAAACTCTGCAGAACAGTTTCTAAAGAGATGAAAGGCAGAAGCAAATACAGAAGAGACAAGTCTGGAATTTAACACCTCACCTGCTTGGACACCTTTGTTTAACATCCGCGCCCGTCGCTTGTTACTAAGAGCAGAGCTTGGCCCCCAGGAAATGCTGCTTGCAGAAGTGGAATCTGATGAAAGGGAGACTGCCTTCTGGGGGGGGAAAAAAATAAAAAGAGAACAGAAATGCCTGAAATAATAACAAAAATGATCAGAAAGCACATTTTCAACACGAAAAAAAGTTACAGTCATCACTTTTTTTTTCTTTCCCTGTTGTACCTTGATTCTATAGTTATGTAGGTGTTTATCACAGGCTGATCAGTGTCTCTCACCGCTGTGCCACGCAGCGGTCAGCCTTGACTTTATCCTCACGCACCAACGTGCTTCCTGCATCCCATTCTAGCAAGAAGAGTGCGTGGTGTCTGTAGGCAAGAGCCTGCCTGCGATCAGATTCTGTACAGTGCTGATCACCCTCCGATTCCTTTGTCCAAAGTTCCTGAGACAAAGTGGCCTGTCAAGATAGACTCCTAAAAACCCTCTGCTGTGGCAAGATCACTCGTTGGCTGGACTTTCAGGAAAGACTGGAAAGTGTGAAACATTTTCTGCTTTGGAAAGAGGGAGAAATAGACATCTAATCTGAATCCTACATTCCTCCCCTCTCAAACCAAAAGCCTTTAAAGGTTGCTGGGTTCGCTGGAGGGACAAACTGTTGTGAAACATTAACGTGTTGCTTTGTAAATTCACGATGAATTCCAGTTCTGTACCACTGGCACAAACGAGCAAAGTCCTTTCGAAACATGGGAAGTTCTCTCACTGTGATCCTCATTACACAAAGTTCTCCAGGGGGAGAGAACGAAACTCAATAAAAACAAGAAATAGAAGACAGGTAGGAAGAGCATGGCTTAGGCACAACACGAGTTTCACATCTTCACCGTTCACACAAACGGCAGTTCCAGCTGCAGGGACGTAAGCGGCACAACTTTGTCACAATAAATTAATTTAAATTTTATGGCATGGTATAACTTTACAGCCATTTAAAAAGGAATAGACTCTGTTAGTGTAACGCATCTAGTCCACAAGCTTTTTGGTTATGTAAAATACAGAGAAGGCTGGTGCTTTATTAACAGCAATTAACTGACAGTGCTTCCCCAGGCTTCAAACCCAACAGTGCGGCACAAGCCAATCTCTGCGACTCCGCTGAAATTAATTTTTAATTATGAAACAGATTTGTCTTTTCTCCTTGATCATAGCAATTAGTATCCTATTAGTAACTCATAACGATGGAGATGAACAGAGGGGTTTTTATTACCTTTTTATTGGACCTCTGCTATCACCACTTCAATGCAAAACACACTTGCATTTGAACACTAAAAGGAGGCCATTTTTACTCTCATGCATACTGGCGAGAACTGGTTTTTACTTTTATAAAGCTATTTCAGCTCTCGCAGAGTGCACTAGACAGATGTAGTAGATTCGTATCTTCTTTCAGAGAACAGAAGCCAGTTTGAATCTGTGCTCAGCAAAAGGGAAGACAGTATAAAGTTAGGGGAAAAAACCAAGATAACCCATTTACATGCACACGCACATCAGCCCGCAGAAATGAGTACAAGCAGCCTCTCAATACTGAATATTGACATACATATTCCTATTTCAACCAGAATATTCAGTGCAGTGCTTTCAAAGCCCTTCAGCAGTTCAACAGCACAACCTTTAGCTTTGTACCTGCTACCAGATGGCAGCTTGAAGAGCGCTTTAGAAATAACAGAAACTGGAATAGATAAAAACCTTCTGGGATGGGTTCAGCATCTATAAATAAAAAAAGCTGTAACCAAGTTTTCTGGAAGCAGAGCTGACAATAGGCTCTCATAAAAAAAAATGGGCAACTCATTTACTGGGTGCCACAGGCATGCAGAACATCTGGTGTTAAAAACAGACATAGAAGCACAGCCCCTAAAGACAGATAAGGGCAGCACCTTCCTAGTGAAACTAAACTAAAAAAAAAAAAAAAAAATAAAAGAGAATAAAATCTTTATTTCTGTTCCACCAAGCATCACAGAATTTGCCAAAATTTGGATTTTTAAAATTAAGCTCCCCATTTTGCTGTCAGTTTTCTCTTCCCTCCTTTAGCATGTGTATATATGTGTTTTTAAAAAGAACACTGCACCAGCAGATAAAAGATACTCGTTTCTAAAGCCATATGGGTTCAACGCAACACCAAGCACCAGGAACAGTCAGCCTTTATTCTCATGTAAGTATTCCTGCCATCAGCTGTCTCACAGGTGATTTTAACAGCAAAAGACTAGATGTTGGTTTTCAGGGCCAAAGAGACATTGAAAGGTTAGTCTTATGAATGGAATAAAATCACCTCCTAGCTACTGCAACCATGCGAAAAACGTTGGACTCTAATTTCACTGTTAGATGGTCCGTGTGCTGATTAACGCTCCTAACATTGCAAAGTTTATGACTTTTTTTTTTTACCTTTAAATATTACAAATAAAAATATTGATAAAAATATTTTTAAAACCATTCTTAGTCTTGAAAAAGACTGTTTGTCCCCCGGACATGCATTCATTCGCTTACTTGACACACAGACTGAGTTTAAGTTGTTTCTATTAAAAAAACCTAACTCATTTCAATGAAATCTGTAAGTAATGGTGACAGTACCGCTTTCTTCTGGTAATATGAAAAACGGAAATATTTCTCACTTGTTCCTGTACTTTTCAGCATTAATGGATATTACAGAAAATCCAAACTCTGTCATTTCTTACTAAAATCACCAAATCCATGCCAAGGCCCCCTTTCAGGAAACTAATTTTCATTTCTGCTCCAAAGGGCAATGGCCAAATTCAGAAGAAGTAATCAGAAAAATTTTCTACGTTTTAAAACAGTTTTACTCCAGACTTTTCATCTAGAACCCTTAGGGCCAAGACTTGGTCCTTTAATATGCCTAAAATTATCAATACAGAAACTGAAGAAGCTTACAACCAGTACTCAGCAAGACAAAATAATTCCAACGTTTAAAACAGACAAACAGTAACAAAATTTAAACAATAATGCCTTTTTTAATGAAGTAGTATTTTAGAGATACTCAGGTAGCAACATGCAAAGTCTACAACCTCACCTTACCACCACTGTCTTCAGGATTGCTAAAGCACAGAACCTGCAGGTAACTAGAAGTCAAGATACAGCAGGATTTTGCTTCCCAAGACAAATAAAGGCAGAGAAAAAAGACAACTA